AAAATTATTTCCCTTTTAAAAAGCATAAGTTAATTAACTGGCTTCAAATTTGGATCGAAAGATTTAAAAACTAGACAGAAGGAATAAATAAGTCTAAAAAGAAACTAGAAATATCATAGAACCACCATATATATTTAATATTGTAAGCTGACGTCATGAAAACAAGCTAGGAACCAACATAATAAAGCATTAATCATACTTTATGAATGAAATATTCGCCTTACATAAAACACAGCACGTTTAGTTAATCGAAAATCGTATTAATGGCAACAAATGCGGCTCGAGGAATCTTGTTGAACAGGCAGCCATTAAGTTTCCCGCGACTGAAGACTTTTTACACAAATATATAGCAACTTTTTGCAGCAATATCACCGTATAAGTGAGCTATGTTTTAAAAATAATGAGTGTACGCGGTGCGCATGCGCCGCGGGGCGTTGAATTATGGAGACAACCGTCATAGATCACGCTGTAGGTACTTTCGTCTTTGTTACGCGAGTACAAACGCGTTTTTCTTTAATAATCAACAATTTATTGAGTATTAACGTTATACCAGATTTCAAAGTGACATTTTTTCAATTTATTTTTGTATTATTTACCGTTTTTAGGAAGAACATATTCTTCCGCGTTAGGTCATGGATGACTAGTATTCAGATTTGTGAGCTAAATCAAACTAATTATTATTTATACTTTAGTGTCCATATTTTGTTATTAATTATTATGCTACCGGGTAGAGCAGTCTTGTAGTTTTGACGTCAGTGTTTTGAATATTTTATTAATATTTTTTGTAACGGTTCAGAGGCTGGGGCTTTCCTCGAGAAAAGTTTTAGGAATAGACTCTTTGGCATTATTAGGTGGGTTGTGTTATATTTTAGAGATAAATACAATGTAATATTTATAAGATTATATAGTAACTAACTAATATTATTCAAATATACTACGCCAGTTGAGTCCACATATATTATTAAAAATATATGTACCTCATCACTACATAGTATAAAACAAAGTTACTCCCTCTGTCCTTATATCCACATGTATGCTCAAACCTTTGAAACTCCGCAACGCGTTTTCATATGGTTTCTTTTAATAATAGATAGAGTGATAAAAGAGGACGGTTAATATGTGGAATAACATTCATAAAATCATGGAGAAATTTAGTATAAACTTTGCTCCCGTGCGAAGGCTGGGCGGGTCACTTGTGTAAAGTTGTGTATAAAAAACTTTCTCATTGATATCTAACTTTAATTATCCAGTAACCCTTAAGATCTAAAGCTCTTTAAAATTAATCATGTTGAATGAAACCTCTTTCAATGTACCACGAGTCTCTAATTAACCGTACCGACGTTTAAGAAAAAGTTTACAACGAAGAAATAAACTGGAAATGTTTCCAATTGATAAACAGTTCACTATCTAGAGAATCAGTGTTGACATAGCAAAAAATCTATGAATTGTGAATTTCATTATAAACGTCTCGGTGGTCGAATTGAATTGTGCTAATTATTGAACCCAGGAACTGGTGCACGGTACCTGAACTGGTTGAATTTTTGAAATACTTTTAGTAAGTGTGTGTTTTAAGCTTCGGCACGAATGAGTCGGCTCGAACGGAGTGATAGAAAACAGGGTCTCACAGAAAACCGGCGTGAAACAACCACAGAGTTGTATTTCACCGTGTGAGTGAGGTTACCGGAGGCCCAATCCTTCCCCTCCCCCAATCCCTCCTCAATCCCTAAATCTCCAAATCCCTAATCCCTAAAAGGTCGGCAACGCACTCGTAATTCCTCCATTGCGGGTGTCCATGGGTGGCGCTGATTGCTTACCATCAGGTAATCCGTCTGCTCGTGTGCCGACCTATTACATAAAAAAAGATAGTTTTATTGTTTTTCTCTTTTTGACGGGAAAATAATCAAATCACCTCTATTGCCCCGGGTAAGGCGAAAGGGAGCGTCAGACTCTTAATGACTAAAAATCCCCCTGTTCCTTCTCCTGCTCTGTGCCGAGGTTGCGGTGCCTCATTGCGCTTACCCCGCAACCCCTGCTACGCAAAGAGGGGTTACGTTCGGGAATCGAAATCGTGACATATTAAACGACAGGCGATTGCTCAGTCACCGCGTTAACTGGATATTTCACACAACAAACAATTAAGTGTGCATTAACTGCAAAAAATATCAAAACCTTCTTATGAATATGCATCAGTTACACTGTTAATAATCTTTCCGTCTCTTGACCTACAACAACAATATATGTACCTACATACCAGTTTATCAAATACTAGCGACCCGTCCTGGCTTCACTCGGGTGCAATGCTAATACTAAATTCTCATACTGATGTTATACTCAACCCTCCTCTTCAATCACTCTATTAAAAAACCGCATCAAAATTAGTTGCGTCGTTTTAAAGATTTATGCATACATAAGGATATAGGGACAGAGAAAGCGACTTTGTTTTATATAATGTATAATTTAACTTGTTCATTTTTTGTACTATAATATTATAAGAGACGGTCATACGAATTTGGAGTGCCATGTTTTATCTGCATGATGCTATTGGTTCAAGTGCTCTGCAAATAGTTTTTGTTTCAAGTACTTACATACAAAAAATTTATTTGGTTTTCCGATATTCTTCAATTTAATCACAGCGTGGTTTGCATGGTTTCAATTGTTTAGGTCAGGTGGCTTTTAGTGCTTCTAAATATAAGTTGTGGCAGTCAGGGAATTTCTATCTCCGGTCTACATGCCTGTGACGACAGCCGCTGAGCACGAACTTCAGAAGTACTTGAATTACTTGAGAAGTCAGTATTTTTTTGTTATGTATTGTGAGCTGAATGTTTAAGATTTTGTTTATGTGAACTGGTGGTGATTGGCGCCGCATATGGACACCTGAACTATCGAGGTGTTTAGGTACAAGTGCCTTGTCGAATGTATTGTATGGGGAGTTTAAAAATAAAAACAGACTTTAATTTATTTATAAAATAATTAACTACTTGTCAGTCTCAATCACAGGCATGGAGACTAGGGGAAGATTTGTTTAATAATGGCAATCTGGGGACTATGTGCTCGTGCTAAAAAAATGTTGTACTGCCAATTTTTATTTACAGAACCTTTTAACTGTGGACGAGGCAAGCTTCGGCACGAATCGGTCGGCTCGATCGGAGTGATACCACGGCCTCACAGAAACCGGCGTGAAACGACTGTAGCGTTATGTTTCGCCGTTTGAGCGAGGTTACCGGAGGCCCATTCCTTCCGTCTACCATTCCTTCCCCATCTTTAAATATCCAAATCCCTTATCTGTAAAAGGTCGGCAACGCACTCGTAACTCCTTTGTTGTTGCAGGTGTCCATAGGCGGCGGCAATTGCTTACTATTAAGTTATCCGTCTATTCGTTTGCCGACTTTTACCATTAAAAACCTCTTTTTTATAAATACTGGCTTTATAAACCTTCTTTTTTTCAGGTCCTTCAAGTCATTCACAAATTACATTACTATGCACGAGTAACGTCACAAGTATAAGATATTTAATTTGTGGTTGCAATTATTGTATGTTTTTGTGCTTAACACTAAGTGGTTATTAAGTCTGAATTTTGAATACCTTTTTTATTAATGATTTATATTTCTGAATATTATTAGAGGTTACTCTTATATGCAATATAAATATTATTTTTAAATTCGCTCGAATATCAATAAGCCGTATTGGAAGGTCATGCTTTGGCACGAATGAGCTCAATTGGAGAGAAACAGAAAATGGGCGTGAATCATCGATTACGTTGTGTTTCAATGTCTGAATAGGGCTACCGGACCACCACTCCTGTCGTGGTGGCCCTAAGATTAAGGAGCCCGCTTCTCATGCATGAGGGTTCGAAACCTGGCAAGTACCAATGTAACTTTTTCCGATTTATATGTACTTTCTATGATTATTTAGACACCATTGAAATACGGCGAAGGTAAACATCGTGAGGAAACCTGGACTTACCTATAATTTCTAATTATAAGTTTAAAATCGCCAACCCGCATTGAGCAAGCGTGGTAATTAATGCTCTAACCTTCTCCGTATGAGAAGAGGCCTTTGCTCAGCAGTGGGCACTTATAGGCTGATGATGATGACCACTCCTACCTCCCTACCCCTATACCCAATACCCATATTTCCAATCTTCAAATCCATAAAATCTTACAAAAGGCTGGCAATGCATTTGAGAATCTTTTGGTGTGGCGAGTGTCCATTGCTTGCCATCAGGTGAGCCGTCATTTTAGTTAGATTTGTTATCATCATATTTGTCTAAAGTCAAAAAGTCGAAAATCTTTTTTTTTTAAACTTTGCCCCACCCTATGATTTTCTCCTGTGTTGTGGATGGGTTTACAAACATACAATTTCACATGCACACCATACCCAGACCCGGAACAACAATCTGTGGATCACATAAAGAGTTATTCCGTGCGGGAATCGAATCCGCGACACGTTGCGCAGCAGCCAGTTGCCCAGCCACCGCGCCAACCATGCAGTCAAAGTCATTGATTTCTTTTATTTTATCATATATATTTTAAAGATATAAAATGTCATTCAGTCATCATTATAATCATCATATCAGCCCCAAAAATCCCAATGCTGAATATAGGCCTCATCTGATCTCTCTTAGGCAGACAGTTGGTGAGTCTAGTGAATATGATTGTCCAGCTGTTCTTAGGTATACGTTATATTTGTTTATATTGCTTAGAGATTTTCGTGAATTAAACTATTCTTTTTTCTTAACTCTGCTTAGCCCTGTTGTTGATGTTCAATTACGTGTGGTATCACTACCAAAATAGCGTGGGTATTGGTTTCAGGGCCGCATTCTGGTTGTAGTATATGAAAGACCTTTAACTTTTTTAATTCTACTTCTGCCAGCAGTTTCTCACAAATTACGATGGTAAGAAGAAAGAAGAAAAAGAAGTTATTCCAGAGAATAATCTATATCTGTTTAGTTCGTTCGATATTTTTTGTTGGGAAAACAACAATGTAAAGAAAGTCCAAAGTCGAGTGCATGAATAGTTTATTTTGTACGTCTCCGTGGAATGTATTCATTACAAACATTTGTTTATGAAATAAAAAAAAACACTCTACCTATATTTATATTTACAAAAAAAACACGTTTGTCAAAGTATTACATTTGAGTATGAATGTGTCGATAATTTCACTACGTTGAGTAAATGGAAATGTTTAGGAGATTACAACAACAATATTGAGCAAAATTAGGAATGTTTGTGTAACAATCGAGTATATCCTTAGCTCTTACCATCTCTTTCTCTACTGCCTTATAGAAATGAAAAGAGAAATACAGACTTTACATAAATATTACCAACACTGTCAATATATTATTCAAAAAGAGATAATAAGAGTATTTATATGAACGTAACAGTACAGCCGACAGTCGTGATTATATAATAGAACTTAGCTACCGATAGAAATACGAAGACTTAGAAATATAAAAAGGATTCACAATGCACCCGAAGTTAACACATTACAACCTCAAACAACACTTCGAAATTCTACTAGAAATAAATTATATTCAAACATTTATACAAAAATATATATAAGGTTGAGAATGGAGCGTCGCAACACCCGGCTGTGTCCATTTCCAAAACATAATCATTATCTAAAGTATCCTAACGTACACTACTCAAAGAATAATTTATTTATTTACATTCGTTTTGTACATAACCTCGAACCGGGCTCGTTAAGTACCAATAACATTGTATTTACTAAACATTACTTATTATACGTATTTGGATAGACTCTTTCAAGCGATAACAAATCAAACATTCGACTGTTTGAGCTTAAACAAAAATCACATTCCTCTATACTGGCCTTTGATTCTTTCACTGACGTTTAATACAGTCTATATAAGGGCACTAGGTGACGCGGCGTCTCACGTCAGACTTTGGTGGTGAGGTCCAGAGGGTGCAGCTTGATCCTCTTTATTTGTGAATATGACACGTCCTCCTCCTCGCTCGCGGACCCCGCCCCGCTGCCTGACTCCCCGTCCTCATTGTCTGGCACTATCACTTCACTATCGTCTGATCTCCGACGAGCAGAACTTGACCTGCCGTCAGATTTGACAGATAAATCCATGGGATTTTCCTGCAGCGGAGACTCCGAAGTTCTCCTCTCAGCCGGCGGTGTTGGCACGAACTCAGTTTCAGAGATTACATCTTCCTGAGGGGTTGGCTGTGTAGACCGTTGCTGTTTTAAGATCTCATCTAGGAAGAACCGCTTGGACGACTCTGTCCGCTCATTGTGGTCGTCGATTCTGACGTCGTTGTTATTCTCAGCAGCTTGTCGTAGCGCTGCCTGGTCTAGGAGGTGGCGTGAGTATATGGGGTGGAAGCCTGGCGGGAACAGCAGCGGGTGGTTGTGTGCGAACGGGCTGAACGGCGGCGGTGGTAAGAAGGGCGAGTGGGGGAAGTGGGGCAAGGAGGCGATGTTGGCGAGGTGGAGGGGGACGAAGCTATCTCTGGGCGGCGTCAGCGGCCTGTCTGGTGGCCGCGACTGTGTCAGCCGAGATTTTTCATCTAATTTTGGAGACGACCCACTTTTATGTGAGTCTGGAGACGCAGAGCAAGGAGGCTTGTAATCGTCTAAGCCAAGGAGAGCAAGTTCTTCTTTAGTTCTTGGTCTAGCGAGCCCTGGGAAGAGATGAGGTGGGAAGGGAGGAGCAAGCGGGTGGGGGGAGGGCGGCACTCTTGGAGGAGACTGTGACTGCGCAGCTTGCTGCTGTTCTTGCAGGAGGCAGTGTATCTTGAACCAGTTGGAACGGCGGCCGTACCGGGACCCGGATTTGGACATGCCGACCATCAGACATTTGCGCAGCCGGCACGCCTTGCAAGCTGTCCGGTTCTTCTTGTTGATGACACATTCTCCGTTGTTCTTGCACTCCGTGATGGAGTTCAGGTTGTTGTAGGAGCGGCCGAAGAATGACTGGAAAGAGAGAAACATAACGTTAATTGTTGCAAAATTAAAATAACATTAAGACAACATTTTTGTAGAACGATTAGTGGGAACCGATAACTTTTTAGCAAACAGATGCGATGTAACACCTCACATATCTGGTTAAGAAGGTATACAACTAAAGACTGTATAGAGCTGTTTGTTGTAATAGCCAAGACGTATGATTGGTTGGGCAACGCCTCCTAAGACTGGTATTTTAGCACTAATCATAGACCCTTGTAATGAAGCAACTCATCCCGCACTGCCAACATAATAATTACCAATAAATAACTGGCGATTGTTTGTCACACTTAATTAATCGCCCGTAAATATCTGTCAACTTGAGAAGCAATTGCTTCATTTAATTAAATTTAATCAAGAGAACGAGTAGCTCCTGCTTACTTGCATATGCATGGTCGATTGAATATGTATAATTGATATGATGGTCAGGAATTATAGTGTGTGTGACGAATAAAATGGAAAATGAGAGGTCGGAGGTTGGTGCTAGTTTAGCTTGCTAATTAAATAGACTGAGTTATTAACATCACTGCTTAAAGATTGTTATTGATCAGGTTTAGGCGGGTAATCTAAAGAATTATGTAATATTGGTTTAGAAAATCAATTTGTTACTATACACTTAAGTTTGAACTAGTGAAGCCAAAGCGCTGTAAATTTAGCTATAAGTTATTATTGTTAATCTCATTTTAAGTGAACCATTGTTCTTATGAGAAATAAAGTTCTTTAAACCTAATTTATCAAGTCATTTGAATATTATATATATATTTCATCATCTGTGGTTGTTTTTGCTGTTTGCAGTTTCGTATGTGTTTTCTAAATATGAGGATGACAGAGGTCAGAAGCGGGATAGTTAGAAACTCGTCGCGTCACGATTGAAGGAACCAGACAAGTTTAGCCTGTGAAGGGAACGCCTCTAACTAGCGGAGACATACAGCTTCATTATTTATGCAAATAATAATAAAGCTGTATGCTTCACTAGATGTATGTGCGGTCACTGTTGGTTTAGTTTCTAGGTTGGGAATTAATTTGAACAAATATAGGATGGGAAATACGTTTGCAAAGGGCTTGATATCCAACAAAAAGAAGCTTTTTTTCTTGCCCTATTACCTAATTTAGTTAGGTATTTTAGTCAGGACAGTTTACAAGACTCACTATCAGGACAGACATATGTACATTTGACCTAAAGAAGGTGTTACACGGACGGCTGGCACCCGCCCGACCGCGTAACTCCGATAGTGAAAACATTGCCTTACAAATGTCGTGTTCACGGATTAAGACGTCACTTCCCGTGGATATGGGCCGCAGGTTCGGTTCCGGTCTGTTACACGCGTTTAACTATGGTTTTGTTTTCATTTGACCTTGATTTTTCGGTTTTCTTACGTAAGGTAAGGTTGTGGCCTATTGTTTTAGTTTTTTCGTTTTAGATGAGTATTAGATTGTTAAGATTGTAAGTGGGCGATTGGATTGATGATTGCAAACGATATAATGTGCTAGAGCTAGTTGCTGTTAGAATTCTTTTTATGTTTTATGACTGGGTAACAATGTGAATTTTGCACACTGTTCATTTTACAGTTTTACTACCTATATATTATAAAGAAGTATAGAGCAATGTTCAAGTAAAATCTGCACAAAGAACCTACAATTAATAGTAACTAGTAGCTTACGTAATTCATAGTATGACTTTGTTTTTACTGACTACGTCCTTTTCTTTTTTCAGGTCGATTATCATCAAATCACTTCAAATGACTTCTCCCGCCGTGGGTGGAGCGAGAGAGAGTACCTATTAGACTTTTACTGACTAATAACCAGCCCGATAGTTTTCCTGTTCCGGGCGGTTCATTAAATGACATATCGCGCTTCACCCATAACCTCGACTGACAGACTACCTCTTAGATGACATATTAGAGAATTTAACTTAGTATAGAACTATAAAACCTATCCCCCAGAATGATTCGGATATAGTCTTCTATTAAGTGTTATGTAATAAATTAAAACAAAATAAAAAAGAAACATATTGTTACCTATAAACCACACCTATATACAACTGCACATATAGTATATAAGTACATAGTAACATGAAAAACGAGTGTTAACTAAACATACACGCGTAAACATTACCAAAATGGTTGCAAAACGCCACATCGTCGCTTGAATGACAATCGACATGCTACCTGATACTGTCACCATGGGTTTTTTATTCGGGAGACTGTCCTACTTTGATTAAAAACAAGATATTTTTTAAGAAATCTATTAAAATGCCATTTCAAGAAAAATATGGGACTTCCTAGTTAATGAAAAGATGGTGTACTAGTTTCAATTCACACAGGGACTCAAATAATGTTAGTTAAGGATTTCAAAATCAAGTAATTCCTTTATTCGAAGGTAGTCGGTATAAAGACGCTGTTAATTATATAAAATATAATTATGCAAATAGATAATTTTCTTTTAAATATAATATCACTTAATGTTTTCACAAAAACATTCATATATCTATTAGGAACAAAATTCATAATTGATTGGCATATATCTTTAAAAACATGATAGTAAAAATAAATTATTTTCAGCATTAAAAGTTACATATTCAAATCTGCATTTAGTATCCGAGTCGGCCTTGTAATTTCGAAATCAGACAGACACTTTTATACTGAAAAATTGTCAGTTGAATATGCTAAGATGTTTTAAGAGTATTATTATATATTATGAAATATTACGTTCTCCAACATTTGACCAAGAAATTATACAGCTTATGACCGTCTTCAATTTACAAAAACTATTTTGACCTACAACTTTGTTGGGTACACGAATGAAATTGGAATTTTAATAAATAACGTGACGTTATAACCTGTTGCTTTAACAAACGTAGGAAAAGAAAACTTTACCACAATTATAACATATTTCTTACAATATTATTACACAGAAAAAGTCTTAAATAAATATAGGATTCTGTAACTTTTAGTTATAATATGAAGGATTTGACTAAAAATTTGAAGTCTAGCACTTCACTAAATACTTAGGTACTAAAAGTTATTATTTCTATTATTTCAACAACATTATAATCAGTAGTTGACGCATAAAAGTTGCATTTGTAATGGGGGTAGGTATATATATATTTATTTATAAAAAATGGATTTCGGTAAATCCCCGAATGGTGACCCTACAATTGACCAATTGCAGGATCACGTCATAGATGAAGAATTTAAACTGAAACAATGCCATCTTTGAACGTGCTGCGTGCGTGATGCGAATTATATTGCGCGTGCGCCGTTTTATTCTACATAAATGCACCGCAAACGATATTAGCTCTTATACTGAGAGACAGAAGTCTTATTTCTGATTGATAACAGAACATATATTTTGGTGATGACATCGCTAATTTAAAAGAAAAGATAATAATAAATACTTATAAGTACAATTTGGTAATATTGTTCGACGTTGAAATGTGTTCCTCACTTCTACAATATTTATTTACTTATATTAAAAAGCGCGTATTACGCCTTGTTTTGATTGCTTACTAACTCGGGATGTGAAACAAATTGATATTTTGGATTTATAACAAAGAATCCTTTGATTAGCACAGGCACTACACCTGTCCGTTCTATTTGCTTATTTTTTTAAAGATTTTCTCGTTTTTATTTGTAAGCTAGAAAAATATTAAATTCTCTTTTCATTTGCCGTAGAGTCCTGTAAAGGACAGTCACGGACAGCTGCAATAGATAAGCTCATTCGACGCCAACATATTTAAAACGTTTAAAGTAATTAAAGTAAATTGTCGTGCAATGATTCAATATGATATTTAAATTAATTGCCTAGATAAAAGCGTGGGGAATCGCTGCCGTCGCATGCGTTATATTAATTGCATCATATGTTTCATTCTCGGTACAAGCAAGTATACAAATGTTTCATTGATTTTTATTGATTTTTCTTCAGTGGCAACACCGAGACATCTTTAATGTTTTTGTAAACTGGCAACACTATTTTGTATTACTACTTACTACTAATTGGGCAAAAAATGACATTATTAAAAGTTATGACCGGGTTAAACAAAATTGTGTTTAATAGGCTCTATAGATGTCGCTGCGGTACTTAAAAAGGTGTCAATTAATTTTAATGTTCTTGGACTCATTTTATTAGGTACCCATAAGACATTAAAATTGAACACAGGGTATAGATCAGTTTCTTACAATTACTACTTGATTTATATCAATTAAATTATTACAATAATATTGATTGCTGGCAATGTAGTGTGTGTATGTGTGTGACAGTACTTGTAGTTAATAATCAGTATGTGCATAAATTGGCTGGTTGCGCAAGAGTCGCGGGCGGCGCCGGGCGACGGGCGAAGTTACGAGCGACCTGGCCACAACCACCTATGACCTGCGCGCGCGCCGCTAACGTACAGGTGGGGGCTTGCAACTTAGGATGAGTGCCGATGATTTGGTTATTGTTATTTCTTTGGATTTGCCAAATATCGTATGACATAATGACTACCACGTTGTTTATTAGAGATAATTGTTAAATAGTAATTAAAAAAATAAACTCAGTTTTTTGATTTTAGAAAGGTATTCTTATTCATTCAGACTAGAAAGGCACACGTAATTGATAAAGACCCTTTTTATTTCTTCATAAAAATATTATTTGATGGGAAGACATCTAAAACTCTTTTAAAAGTAATCATATTTCTATTTCTAGACCGCAATTGTACACTCGGCTCTAGCTGGCGGTCATAAAAGCAAAGGATGCGCAGGCGCATCGCTGGCGAGAGGTGAACGTAAGAGAACAATAAATTATCCGTTGCTAGGCAACGCGGGTGACTTGCTGACGAAACGTGAACACTATTGTTTTTGCAAGTGACTTCCATTTTGAGGAGATTTTTTTTCTTAGAAAATCTTGAACCGTTGACATTTAAGTAGGTGCCACTAACAACTACAGTGATATAGGTACAAATATAACGTACATTTTAATTATTCATTCAG